TCAATTTTTAAAAACATATTTAAAAAGAAAGAAAACAAGCAGGACGCTAAGGGAAATGAGGTCACTGGCCTTACCTCATGGGTTTGGGGGTTAGGTGGAGGTCCAAAGAAGACTTTACGGAGAGCTGGGGTCCAAGAGAGGAGCAGGGAGTCTGACACATTAAGGTTTGGAGGTCTGGATCGCCTGGCACAGAGCAGGTTCTCAGGAAACTGGGGCCTGTTATTGTTCTGCCACCTAGTCCTATTGAAAGTGGTAATGTTAGAGGTGGAAAAATGGCACCAGGTGTTAGCAACAAGTTAGGCTGGACTTCGGTTCAGCAACCTCTGTACTTTAGTTCAGCTTGAAAGAATTCAGAGCCAAGGTATTTAAATTATAAGGATATTTGGAAAGTTACAGAGGGCCCTGGCCAGATAGCTCAGTTTTGCAAAGGACTAGAAATGAGAACGCAGGGCTTGTTAGGAAGGAGTCCCGAGGTGGCTCTCAGGACTGGCCGCAATCGGCCCGGGCGCTGACACCTTGTGCGGAGACTGCCCAGTGGGGAGGACACCGCTAGACTCAGCTCAAGCAAAGGCGAACACCCAGCTGTCTCCGAAAGGGGGGCAGCACCCATCCCTACCGCGCTCCTGCGGCTAGCCCCGCCCGCAAGGCGGGAGAGAAGCCAGCCAATAGTAGCCTGCCCGGCCCAGGGTCATTGGATTAAGGATCTCCGTCACCTAGGCTGACCACGCGCCTCCAATGAGTGAGCTGCCCACTGAGCTGCCCAATAAGCAGCGGCCTTGCGTCCTGCGCCGGCTTCCTGGCCCCTCTTCGTTTCCGCAGTCAAGGTTCCACTCCGAATGCCGGTTGGCTCCCTGCCAGCCAATTACAGGAGCGCCCCTGGCCCTACAGCCAATGGTTGCCCGCTTCCCTGCGCCCGGCCTTGACGGTTGGCGCTGAGCTTCCGCAATCCGCAGTAGGCAGGTTCGGATTGGTGCAGGCGGTGTCCAATGGGTGACGCGAGTGAAGCGGAAGGCCAATGAGCACGGCGGGGGTGGGGCGGACACTGTGGCGGGCGGCTGTGAGGAGCGGCCGGTGGCGGCCGGTGGCGGCGACGGCGGCGGGCGGCCATGGCAGAAGCAGAGGCAGGCGGCGACGACTCCCGCTGCGTGCGGTTGAACGCCGAGCGGGCCCGGGCGCTGCTGGCCGACGTGGACACGCTGCTGTTCGACTGCGACGGTGTGCTGTGGCGCGGCGAGACGGCCGTGCCTGGCGCTCCTGAGGCCCTAACGGCGCTGCGGGCCTGTGGCAAGCGCCTTGGCTTTATCACCAACAACAGCAGCAAGACCCGTGAGGCCTACGCCGAGAAGCTGCGGCACCTGGGCTTCGGCGGCCCCGCGGGACCCGGCTCCAGCCCCGAGGTCTTCGGCACGGCCTACTGCACCGCGCTCTACCTGCGCCAGCGCCTGACTGGCGTTGCGGCTCCCAAGGTCTACGTGCTGGGCAGTGCGGCGCTGGCCTCGGAGCTGGAGGCCGTGGGCGTCGCCTGCGTGGGCGTGGGCCCGGATCCCTTGCTGGGCGACGGCCCTGGCGCTTGGCTAGAAGCGCCACTCGAGCCCGATGTGCGCGCCGTCGTGGTGGGCTTCGACCCGCACTTCAGTTACATGAAGCTCACCAAGGCCGTGCGCTACCTGCAGCAGCCCAGCTGTCTGCTCGTGGGCACCAACATGGACAACCGGCTCCCCCTCGAGAACGGCCGCTTCATCGCGGGTCCGTGCGTCCCGGGGGCGGGAGGTTGGAGGGCGGGCAGTGGGTCCCTCCAGTCCTCTGACCCTGGGCGTTCTCCTCTCCTCTCCTCCCCTACCCTCCCCTCTCCCCACCCGCAGGTACCGGTTGTCTGGTCCGAGCCGTGGAGATGGCCTCCCAGCGCCGGGCCGACATCATAGGGAAGCCCAGCCGCTTCATCTTCGACTGCGTGTCCCAAGAGTACGGCATCAACCCGGAGCGCACCGTCATGGTGGGAGATCGCCTGGACACAGACATCCTCCTGGGCGTCAACTGTGGCCTGAAGACCATCCTGACCCTCACTGGAGTCTCCACTCTAGGGGATGTGAAGAGTAATCAGGAAAGTGACTGCTTGTCTAAGAGGATAATGGTCCCTGATTTCTATGTTGACAGCATAGCTGACCTTTTGCCCGCGCTTCAAGGTTAAAGATTTAGCGTCTTTAATCTACAGAATAAAAAAATTGAAAATCACTTAACCAAATTAATAGGTGGGGCTTAAGCACTTGCTCAGCTAGGAGGCTTCAAACGGTATACTTGGAGTTAAGCAAAGGCACTAGTTAACCTTGTAAGTAAACGTTTGTGGGGCGATTTTGTTAAAAGATGTTTGTAATTTAAGATGCACTTTCTTTTTTTGAGAGAGAGAGAGAGGAAAGGAGAGAGAGCAACATCAATTTGTTGTTGTTCCACTTATTTATGCAGTCATTGGTTGCTTCTTGCATGTGCCCTGACCGGGGATGGAACCCACAACCTTGACATATCAGGACTATGTTCTAACCAACAGCTACCTGGCCAGGGCCTAAGATGCACTTTTAACCTTGGCAGGCATTGTGGGCGTCCAGGGCCTTGGTTGCTGTTGGCAAGAGCAGGCTTCACATCTGTCCAGGATTCCTATAACTTAAGGGCCTGCTGATGGGACTGAGGTGGGTCTAGGGGTGTCACATATTTGAAAATTTAATTCAGGGATCAAGCCCCCTTGTAGGGCAAAGGGAAGAAGGGGCTGGTTATTTGGACTATCACAAGAAACGTCCAGACCAACCCATGGCCCCATGGGCATGGTAATCAGCAGAGGAACTTGCCACTGCATCCCAGCTCTTCACCTGCAGGGTGGGAAGGAGGAGGGGGCTACCCCCTGGTATTGTCACCCTGTCCTTGGGTTGTGGGGTGCTGCCCTCAATACTTCCTTAAAAACCACTCTGTCATAATTGAGTGTTGTGTTTCAGACGCTCAGGGCTGCTGCTCCTCATACATGGTTGTGCAGCTCTGTAAACTCACCCCAACTAAACCAGGACTTTCTCAGATGTGCATTTAAACCCAAGTGACATGGACTGAGCATATTGGCTGAGTGGCCAGGAGGGCGTGGGTGCCTTTTCTGAACTTTGGCCTGCTGTGTAGAGAGCTGAGAGCAGCATTATCAAAAATTATTTTTTTAAACTTTTGAACAACTTTGTCAAGGGGTGGAACTGAACTTTAAGCATGTTAATAGCTGTGCTCTGTCTCGTAGGGCAAATCCCACCCTAGAGGTCTCCATGCCCCACAGTGAGCATCAGGGTTAAAGTCAGGCAGGCCAAGGAATGCCTGTTACCCAGGGTGCCCTCTGGGTGAAGGAAGAAAGAAGTGTGCTCAAGAACAGGAAAATGGTTCCTACAAAGCATCCAATATCTTCCTGTCCTCCCATACTCTTGATTGTGTGGGGGTTAGATGCCAATGGTCCATGAGGCCAACTATCTTGGCTCTGAAGTCCTTTGTCAGTGGCCAGCTGGAAGACTGGCAGGGTTCACCAGCTAGCCACAGGCTCTTGATAGGGAGCCCTGGCCTTTTCTGCTTATTCCCTAAGTTGCTGACCTTTGGGAACAGGCCTGATAAGCAGACTCTCCGGCTGCACTTGTAGGGTAGAGCCTGGGAAGCTGTTCCTTTGGGCCGACTCCTTCCCAGTGCCTTGCCCTGCACCCAGTGGTGTCTGCCTACAGCATGTAGCTTCTCTCCTAGTCCCAGAGTCACAGCACTGTCACTTGTTCTGTAAGAGTTCTCAGCAATAAAGAGTATCTCGAGCCTTTAGCTCCTCCCAGGCCTGGAGTGTCTGGGGTTTGGACTCTGCCATGGGGCAACAGCAGGGCAGCTGGTGCCTGTGAGGGTGGTGCTGACGTTGGCTCTGTGAGGTCGGCTCAAGGTGGGTCTGGATATTGAGCAGGCCTGTCAGGGCATTGTCACCCACACCAGGAGCATGAAGCAGGTGCAGCAGCCAGCGACACCTTCCTCTCCTGCGCCCCATCACTGCCTTTATTGCACTGTGTGAACCCAAATGCATATTAAACTCTCAAACGCATGCCGACTAGCATTCCTTGCTCTCGCCTTGACAGCAGCCTTCACACAGAGGCTGCAGCTGTCTAGCCTTAGTGTGGGTGTGGGGTGGGAGGACTTAGTTGAAGGCTATTCTGGGATTTCAGTTCCAGAGCTGGAAACTCCATCCCATCTCAGGCTCATTAGAGGAACAGGTTCTGAAGATCCAGGAAAAATGAAGCAGAAAGCAAACAGAATAGAAAAGGGCTCCTGGTGAGGACACCCATGTTGTGAAAGCTGCCAGTGCCGGGGGAGCCCTGATTGTTGCAATCCACAGTGTCAAGTGACTGGAGATGCAAGCTACGAGACAGGGCCATAGCACAATTCAGTTAGAGAAAGCCATGCTGGTCAGGGCAGAGGCTGGTGGACACGAGGCTGACTGAACCATCCCAGGTGTGGGGGGGTTCAAGTAGGCTACCTTTACTGCAGTGGAGCCTCCTGGGAGCCATCCTGGTCTCAGGCATGTGGTCTTGTGGGATGTTACCCAGCCCATCCTGTGTTGTGGGGGATGGGAAGTGGCTGGGGTGCATGGGGAGGGAAGTAGGGTGGTGGTGCAGAGTCCAATATCAATCTTTCATAATAGGCATTTATTGGTTTGCTGTGTGCCAGGCCCTGTGCCCAGCCCTAGGAGTCGAGGTAACCCAGGAGACTGGAAACAGGCCTGTTTTGGAATAATTAATCTGCCCCCAACCAGACTCTACAAAGTTGCTCTTGCCAGCAGGTCTTGATTTCCACAATGGCCATGCTCTTGTGCCCTACCTGGTTTGTGCTCTCTGGTTAGCATAGACCAGGTGTCAGGAGAGCCAGGCATGGTGACAAGCACACCCCTCCCCCACTCCCAGGTAGATGGGAAAGGGCTGTCTTGGCTCAGGTAGCTGGGCTGGGGAGGAGGCAGTAGGGTCAGGAGGGGAGGGGGCCAGGACGGCTGTTTGGCTTATCAGAGGCTCCTGAGGTTTCCCTGGCTGACTCCAAGGGGTGGCAGACAATCAGTGCATTGTCACCAGGGCTGCATCATGGAGCAGGGGAGCTGCTGTGCAGAGGACCCCAGGCCTGGGCCTGTCAGGGTGAGTGCCTCCCACCACCCAGTGCCCTCTCCTAGGACAAAGACCCAGGGCATGCCCTGAGTGGGGGACAAGAGGGCAGCACCCATCACTCACTCCTCTTCAGCCCCCTACCTTCCCTGAGCCAGCCTGCTCCCTGGTGTCTGCTCCAGGCTCCACTGACTGCAATGTGCCCCGAGGTGAAGACCAGGCCCTGCCATGGGGGCTGGAGAGCCCTGGGTCTGCTGCTGCTGCTGCTGCTGCTGGCATTGGCTGCTACTGGGGCTGTGGCTGGAGGGCTTCTTGGCTTTGCTCACAGCCCTCCCAAGGTGAGCCTCCTCAGGACCTGGGCAGGGGTAGGGGTGCAGAGAGTGGGAAGGGGGAGGAGAGGCGAGCACAACCAGCTTACAGGGGGAGGACAATGGAGTGGGAGAGGTCAAAAGCCTCAAAGCCGGGCTGGGGAAAGAGGGTTGAGGGCTGCCCCACCCTGCCCAGCTGAGCTGTGGCTTCCCACTCAGCCACTGCTACAGATGCTCCGTCTGACCATCCCGAGCCCCAGGGTGTACCAGTTCAACCAAACTGCCCAGGTGGACGTGGCCCGGAATGTGGCAACCATCAGGGTAACCCCGGCTCAGAGCAACCGCAGCTGGGCGGTGCTGTTCGATGGGCAGAGCGTGAGTTGGCTGGTGGGGAGGAGGGGGTCGCTGCCAAAAGGTGTTCAGGTAGATTTGCCTTACCTGCCTGCCTCCCCAGGGCTGTGTCTGTTACCGCCCTGCGGAGCACCAGGCCTGCTTCCTCCACCTGATGGAGCCTAGAGATCGCAAGACCCTGCAGCTTCTGGTGAACACCTCAAGGGTGAGCAGCCCCCATACTCGCACGGTCAGGCTTCCCAGGCCAGGGGCCAGACAAAGGGTCCTGTGTACAGCCTTGGCCTGGGGTGGGTTGGGGCTCTGGTTTCAGGGAACAGAAGCTCTATCTTCCCTTTGCTGAGGCTGCTGACAAGCGCTGAGGGCAGAGCTGGCACAGTGCTGGCTTGCTTGTCCAACGATTCATGGGCCCTGCCTAGCCAAAAGCAGTGCAAGTATCCCTGGCCCATGGCCCACCAGAGCCTTCTCTGCAGACCCAGGGGCCTAACAGCCCCAGCCAGGATACCCACTATGCCCAGGAGCTGCTGGCAGTGCTTGGGAGCCGTGAGGTGGACCCTGCCCAGGTGGGGGCTTCAGTGCGGCACTTTTGCACAAAGACCCCCATTTACTGGGCCCGTCGAGCAGAGGGTGAGTCGGGGCGGCTATGGGGAGAGGCCTGGGCTCCCATGGACAGTTTGGGAAATGGGGTTCACAGAGGTCCCTCCCGCCAGGGCCCCGGAGGCAGCGGCTGATCTACCTATGCATCGACATCTGCTTCCCGAGCAACATCTGCGTGTCAGTCTGTTTTTATTACCTCCCAGACTGAGCCCCTAGCCCACCCAGCCCCACAAGCCAGCCAGCTGGACGGCCCTGTCATCACTACCATGGAAGGCAGCCACCGGCGGGGGCTAATAAACCCCTCCACCTGGCCATGATAGTGTTCTCTGTGGCCTTGGGACATGTAACAGGCGGGGAGGGAGAAAAGCACTGGCTTGGGGGTGGGCAGCAACCAGACTGGCTTGGGTCAGCCTCCTGAGCCCTGTCACATCCAGATAAGCAACTGGGGGCTAAAAGAGCTCCTGGGCAGACCAGCTTGGCCAATCTAGGCCGGCCAAGGCTAGCCCATGGGGGTTCGCTCTGACTTGGCAGCTGAACAGTCACATCTAGCCAGTGCTGCCTGATGGCTGCCTGCAATCCCAAGGGGGGTACAGGCTAGCCCAACACACTGTCGTTGAAGGCCAAGCAGACCACGGCTTTCTGATGACCACCATATTCTCTCTTGATCTCTCCGGTCTCCACGCACCAGAGCCGGGCCAGGTTGTCAGAGGAAGCTGCAGGGAGGGGAGGATATTGGTAGCAGCTCAAGATTTGGCCCCAGGCTGGGCCACACTGGAATCTGGCTCCCAGGTAGCAGGGAAGCAGCAGCAGCCACCACTGGGCTAGCGGGGTAAGGAGATAGGGTAGGGTAGGTCGGACTCACCAGTGACAATGTACTGGGAGTCCCCTGAGAAGGCACAGCCCCACATCCAGCCTCGGGATGACTCTCCAGGGTTACTGCTCTTGATGCTCAACTCCGTCATCAGGGAGAAGTTGGATGTCCTCCAAATCTTGCACGTCTGGTCGGCTGAGCAGGTGGCGAGGAGCCTAGGGGTGGGTATAAGTGTGGTGAGGATGTCATCAGTAGCCACTCCAACCCTGCACCCCCTTGCAATCTACCAAGCAGGCCTGGATCCATCAAGCCCCAGCCCCAGGCAGGTCCCTTCTTCCCGCAGCCATGGTGAACTCCTGGTGCCTTAGGCCCCGCACACACGTGGAGTCTGGGCTGAAGCGGCACTGCAGGGCGTAGCGGGTGTGTGCTGGGATCTTGGTCTTGGGGATGAGCTGTGTCACCTCATCGCCAATGCCCCCCGTCAGATTCCAGACATAGCAGTTCCCCTGCAGGGTAGGAGGAAAGTCATGGGAGGACCAGACCCTCCAGTCTAACACATGGGCAAGGATGCCCTAGCAGGTAGACCCAGACTAGGGGCTACCATCCAACACTGGCTGTACACAGGGGATCTGGGGGCCAGGGACATCTTGCAGGCACATCTGGTCCTGCCTGCAGGGAGCACCTTAGAGGCCTGGCCCCAATTAGGCCTGAAAGCAGGCTGAAAGCAGGAGGCCATGTCTAGCCTTCTTAATGCTGCTGGCCAACCAGAATGTGAAAAATGAGATGGGAGGAGGGCACCCCAGAAAGGGAACAGAAGCACAAAGGCTCAGAGTAGAGGAGTCAGGGGGTGTTGTGGAACAAGTGATTTAATACACATTAAAGGGAGAAAATGAGGCTGGACAGGAGATCAGGGGCCAAACCACAGCATCTTGAGGCCCTGGTAAGAAGGCAGGGTCATCATGGTATTTATGAAGGGAACAGTGGTACTGCTGAAAAATGCCCTGGTGGCAGAAAGAGAATGGACTGGGGTGAGGGGAGGTCAGAGAGGAGGGAGGGAGGCCACAAGAAGGGAAGACAAGGGAAACTTGGACCAGGAAATGATGGGGTGGGTGACACAGACGAGAGATTCAGGAGATGGAATCTGTTGGTGGGGCTACAGCAGGTAATGAGAGGTGGCATCTTGACTTTGGTGACTGGGTTGGAGCTGGAGCACAGGAAGGGGAAGCAGGACTGTGGGATAAGGGGAGGGGCCTGGGGGACATCTGGGAAATAAGGAGCTGGGTGCTGAGCTGGTCTCCCCCACTGAACCCACCCCAGGACTCACAGTGCTATTGACTGCTGCCATGTAGCTTGCATCTGGGTCAATGTGGGCAGATGTGATGGAGACCTCAGGCTCAGGGATCAGCTGCTCATTGTGGTCAGTTTTTAAGTCCCAGATGTGGATAGCGCCGCTCTGGTCACCCACAATGAGCTCTGCCTGGGATGCAGGGGAGGTGAGGTAAGGCAGGATCCCTGCCCTCCAAAGCCCCAGGGTGCCCAGCCCTGTGCATGCCCCTCACCTGGTTGGGGTGCAGACACACACAGTTAATAGGTGCGTTCACCTGGAAGATCCGCTGACACTGCAGGTTGCGGGACCTTTGGGGTAGGAGATATCACTGTCTGTAGGAGATGCTGTTGGTGCCCCATCCAGATGCCCTTTCCCTGGCCATTTATCCTTAACCCTCTGCTAATAGGAGCTGACCCACAGGAGATACTTGGGAAGCTCAGCACTCACCAGGGGCAGCCTGAAGCTAATGATTGACTCAGAGGGGGCATAAAGGCCAGTCCACTGCCTCAAGGCAGGACTGGCTCTTTGATGCAATTTATTTTCCAGAGCTCCCTGTGGGGTCAGGCTGAGGCAGGACTCATCTGTGTGTGGCTTTCTCCCTTCCCTAACCTGCTTTCCTCAACTTCAATAAATCACCTACATGGTAAACCCTGTCTCAGCCTTTGCTGAGAGGGAACCCCACCTAAGTCACTCTCCAGCCTGGCCCTCACCCCCATACATCCAGTACCCCCACACATCCCTCCTGCCTGGCACCCACACCTGAGGTCCCAGATCCGGGCAGTGCAGTCCTCCCCACCCGTGTACATCCAGCGGCCATCCTCATGGAAGCCCACAGATGCGATGTTCTTATTGACCCCGTCATAGCTGATGATGGGGTTGGGGTTATTGGAGTTGAGATCATACATGCGGATGTGCTGGTAACCTGTGGACACAAGCCAAACTGAGGTTTGTCTGTGCCTAGATCAACCCACCAGAGGTTAGGAGTCAGGCTGAGGGTACAGGTACCTGCAGCAGCAATCATGCTGCGGTCGGGTGTGATCTCCAGTGCATTCACCTGCTATGTCTGTTAAGGAGGATGACCAGTAGAGCAGCCCTGGGGTCAGGGGCCCCTTAAGGCCTCCACCATCTGACTCAGCTGCTGCTGTATCCTCCCCACCCCAGGCCTTTGCCCAGGCTGTGATTCCCCACCAGGGGTCCTGTCCAGCACCACCCTCCCCACCGCCCCAGCAGAGGATACAGAGTCCTGGTGCTGCACTGTGCGGGTGCAGATTCCGCTATGGGCCTGCCAAAACCGAACGGTGTGGTCATAGCCTGCAGTAGCCAAGATGACAGGGTCACTGCCCACCGTGCCTGGGGACGGGTTCATGTTGTAGCTGCTTGGAAGACTAGGCAGGGGTCAAAGGTCAGAGCATCTGGAAAACAGAAAGGTGAGTATGTCTTCTATGTCCTAAACTAGCAATTTTCAACCATTTATATATCATGGCACACATAAACTAATTACTAAAATTCTGTGGCACACCAAAATATATATATTTTGCTGATCTGACAAAAAATAAGTATGATTTTGACTCATTTACATCAGAAGGCTATTGTGTTGGCTGTTGTCATTTTTTTATTTGACAATCTAAGGGGAAAGAGGTCAGTGCCCCTGACTAAATAGTCAGGTATTGCGTGTTTTAAAAATTCTTGCGGGCCCGGCCGGGCGTGGCTTAGCGGTTGAGCATCGACCCAGGATCCAGGCAATAAGGGTTTGATTCCCGGTCAGGGCACATGCCGGGGTGGCGGGCTAGATCCCCAGTCAGGGGCGTGCAGGAGGCAGCCGATCCATGACTCTCTCATCATGGATGTTTCTATTTCTCTTTCTCCCTCTCCTTTCCTCTCTATGAAATCAATAAAGATACATTTAAAAAAATAAAAAATAAATTTAAAAAAATTCTTGCGGCACACCGGTTGGAAATCGCTGTCCTAAACAGATTATCAGTCCACTTGGGGAGACAGAAACTGAGGATCAGAGAGGTTAGGGACACGCCTGGCAAGCGGCCAGGGGCAGCCTCCCAGCTCCAAGGCGTGTGCTCTGTTCCGGACCCCAAAGTCTCGTCCCAGACGCCACCCCACCCGCCACCCGCAGGGGGCAGTCACGCCCCTAAAGCCCCTCTGCCGCAAGGATGGGTCGCGCCTGCGCAAGGAGGCAGATGGGCCGCCGGGAAAGCGGAGGGCTGTGGCTGCGCATGCGTAGCAGGCCAGCGGCTAGACCTGATGTGAGGGGGTCCTTCGTGGCGGGGCCCCGGCGCTCCCCGGTGCTCCGCCGGCCGTCCTGGCTCTGTCCCACTGGGCTAGCTTCCTCCGGGCGCGCTTTCGCGGCCACACAGTAGCCGCTTTCTAGCCCTCGTTCGGCGACCTCCCTACCGTACAGGCGGCTCCGCGCTCCGCCCTCAGTCCAGGACGTCGAGCGGAGCCAGAGTGAGTCGATAGAGTCTGAGGCCGAGCTTAGAGTTATCGATGGGCTGCTAGGGCGACACCACGGCTGTATTGGGGTGGGTGGGACGAGACCAAAGTTCTGGTGCAGGGTGCCTGTCTGTCCCGGGAAGAACCGGTGGAGACCTTGGTGCTGCCTGGCGGCGCGGGGTAGATGGACCAAGCTGTGGCCCCTGCTTTCGCCTCACTCAAGCACCCCTCCCTTGTGACACGACTACTCATGTCCCATGCTTGGGTCCCGAGGCCGGGGCGCGCTGCCCCTTCCATCCCCTACGCCCCATGCCGGGTAGGATTCCCAGGTACATTATGGGACGCTTGGTTACATTTGATTTTCAGATAAGTAGCAATAACTTTTGTATATATATAAGTAGGTCCTAAATGTTGCGTGAGGTAAACTAGAAAGTTATTCGTTGCTTATGTGAAATTCAAATGTAACGAGGCATCCTGCAGTTTGCGCTAAATCTGGCAACCCTAGTCTAGGCACTTGCAGGCCTTTCTAGCCCTGTCCTGACCCTCCTCCATTCCCCCAACGCAGTCCAGTGACCTCTCCAAAACTGGGAGAGGTCCCTCATACTTTATTTTTCCATTTCAGACCCACGCTCCACGCACGTGGCCTCACCCTTTTTCACAGAAAAAGAATGCTTAAGATAGGCTCTCCCACTGTTAGCGCTTAAAACGTAACTGTACCTCCACCCCCTTCCTTATCTGGCCCTTTGACCAAGGCCACATCCTCCAGCCCATCCACCCAGGCCCTGGATCCCAGGAACCTTCCTTCCTGTACCTCCCCCACCTCCACTCCTTCCTCCTCCCCAGACTTTAAACTCCATAAAACAACCCAAAACTCTCCTTCCAGCCAGCACTCTCTCCTTCAAAGAGCTGTTGTCACTGCCTTGCTGGCTCCACATCCTCACTTCCCACTCACTCCCCTTGCTGTCAGGTCTTTCTTTTACTCCCAGTTCTCCAGTTAAAATGTCACAAGGGGCCCAGTTGGGCGTGGCTCAGAGGTTGAGCATGGACCTAGGATCCAGGTGATCTCGGTTGGATTCCTGGTCAGGGCAGATGCCTGGGTTGCCGTCTGGATCCCCAGTCGGGGGGCGTGCAGGAGGCAGCTGATCAATGACAACTCTCTCATCATTGATGTTTCTATCTCTCTTCATTTCTCTGAAATCAATAAAGATAGATTAAAAAAAAAAAAAGTCGAAAGGGCCCTGGCTGATTTGGCTCAATGGTTAGAGCATCTGGCCCAGAGACTGAAGGGTCCCAGTTTTGATTCCTGCCAAGGGCATGTACCTCGGTTGTAGCCTCCATCCCTGGCCTCTGTCAGGGCAGTGAGGGGGCAACCAATTGATGTGTTTCTCTCACACCGATCTCGCTCTCTCTCTTTCTCCCTTCCACTTTCCCTGAAAAGCAATGGAAAAAATATCTTCGGGTGAGGGTTAAAAAAAAAAATGTCACAAGGTCACTGCCCTTCTCACACTGCCAAACCCAGTCGATATGTTTCTTTCTGAAAATTGACACATCTGCACAGTGGTTGACATCACTGCTCCTGAAAAGCTCCTGTTGCCTAGCTCCTTGTCGAGTCAATCAGTCTCTTTCTCTTCCCCTAAAGGCTGGTTGGGGCCCTTCACAGTTCTTGTCTCTGCACATCACACTGTCCCTAGAGGTTTTGTTCATTCTCCAGGACTTCTAATACCACCATCCCTGCTCCGATGCCTTTCTACCCTGTCTCCAGCTCAGATCTAGCACCCTGTGAGACAGTGTCCCTGCTAGTCCTCACCGATACCTCCATTTTTCATAGCAAAGACAATTCACCATGGACCTATACCCCTCTCTGTGCTAGGCACATCCACCACCCACGCTTCCATAACAGCCTCCGGACCTGCCTCCGCACACCACTGGCCCCACTTCAGGCTATCCTGCACATTGCAAAACGGTCTTTTAAAAACCTAAGTCTTGCCCAGCCAGGCATGGCTCAGTGGTTGAGCATTGACCTAGGATCCAGGCGATCCGGGTTTGATTTACGGTCAGGGCACATGCCGGGGTTCCGGGCTCAATCCCCAGTTGGGGGCGTGCAGGAGGCAGCTGATTAATGACTCTCTCATCATTGATGTTTCTATCTCTCTCTCCCTCTCCTTTCCTCTCTCTGAAATCAATAAGATATATTAAAAAAAAACACCTAAGTCTGAGCCCTGTTAGAAGTCTTCAGGGGTTTCCTGTTCCCCTCCTGGGCCTGGCCTCTACAGACCCTGCAGCAGAAACCCTCTCTTCTCTATAAGCCACTTGCTCCATGCTCCATCTGGCCAGAGTAGATGATTTGCCACCACACTCCCTTCTGAACCTTTCCCCATACCTAGGATGCTTTCCCCTCCACCTCTTCATCTATTGAACTCCTGGTTTTCAGCACCTTTCATAGCATTTTGAGGGCTTATGTGTGTGGGTATTATGCTGTTTTTGTTTTAATTGAGGTGAAATTTACATAATATGAAATTAACCATTTTCAAAATTTGTGGCACTTAGTACATTTACAAAGTTGTGCAACCACCACCTCTATCTAGTTCCAGAATATTTTCATCACCCCAAAAGAAGACCCCATACCCATTATACAGTCTCCCCTCATTTCCCCTCCTCTCTCAAGCCCCTAGCTCCTGTCAACCACTACTCTACTTTCTGTTTCTATGGATTTGCCTATTCTGGATATTTTGTTTTTTTAAAAATTCCCCCCATTTCTCCACACCCTCCCTTTAAGTATCAACTTGGTCTCAGTCTGTTTCTGTTTTGTGCATATATATATATATATATATATATATATATATTTTAGATTCAACATATAAGTGAAATCATAGGGAATTTGTTTTTTTTTCTGTCTCACTTATTTCATTTAGCATAATACCCTCTAGGTCCAACAATGTTATTGAAAATGGCAAGATTTCATTATTTTAACAGCTGAATAATATCCTGTTGTGTATATATATCACACCTTCGACTTGTAGGTTACTTCCATATCTTGGTTATTACTAGTAATGCTGCAAGTGAACATAGGAGTGCATATCTCTTTTTGAATTAGTGGTTTTATTTTCTTCAGATAAATACTCAGAAGTGGAATTGCTGGGTTATATGGTAGTTCTATTTTTAATTTTTGAGGAATCTCCATACTGTTTTTGAGAGTGGCTGCAATAGTTTACAGTCCCACCAACAGTGTACAAGGGTTCCCTTTTCTCCACATGCTTGCCAACATTTGTGGTTTATTGATTTATTGATGGTAGCCATCTGACAGGTGTGAGGTGATATCTCATTGTGGCTTTGATTTTAATTTTCCCAATCATTAGTGATGTTGAGCATCTTTTCATATATCTGTTGGTCATCTGTTTGTTCTGTTAGGAAAATATTTACTCAGGTCCTCTGCCCATTGAACATTCAATATTATTTTTATTAGTTTCATGTGTATAGCATAGTGATTAAACAGTCATATACTTTACAGAGTGATCCCCCGATATTTCAAGTACCCGCCGGTACCATACACAGTTATTACAATATTATTGATTATATTCCCTATGCTGTACTTTTACATTCCTGTGACTATTTTGTAACTACCAATTTGTAGTTCTTAATCCTTTTACATTTTTCACCCACCTCTGCCCATTTTTTAATTTTTTTTTTTTTTAATCCTCACCCGAGGATATTTTTTCCATTGTTTTTCAGAGAGAGTGGAAGGGGGAGAGAGAGGGAGGGAGGGGAAAGGAGGGAGGGAAACAGCGATGTGAGAGAGACACATCAACTGCTTGCATCCTGCATGCACCCCGATCGGGGCTGGGGATAAAGCCCTTGGCCGGAATTGAACCCAGGACTCTTCAGTTTGAGGACTGATGCTCTAACCACTGAGCAAACCAGCTAGGGCTCTGCCCATTTTTTTTTTTTTAATTGGATTTTTTTTGGTGTTAAGTTGTATGAGTTCCTTATATGTTTTGGATTTATGTTGTCAGATGTATCATTTGCAAATATCTTCTCCAATTCAGTAAGTTATCTTTTCATTTTGTTGATGGCTTCCTTCACTGTGTAAAAACTTTTTAGTGTGATGTAGTCCCGTTTGTTTATTTTTTTTTCTTTTTTCCCCTTGTTTGAAGAGACATATCCAAAAAGATACTGCTAAGAGTGATGTCCAGGAGATTACTGCCTATGTTTTCTTCTAGAAGATTTTGGTTTCAGGTCTTATATTTAAGTCTTTAATCCATTTTTGAGTTTATTTTATATATGGTGTAAAAAAGTAGTCCAGTTTCATTTGTTTTTGCATGTATCGGTACAGTTTCCTCAACACTACTTATTGAAGAGACTGTCTTTACTCCATTGTATATCCTTGCCTTCTTTGTCATAGATTAATTGACTATGTAAGAGAAGATTTATTTTTGGGATCTCTAGTCTATTCCATTGATCTATATATCTGTTTTCATGCTAGTACCACACTGTTTTGATTATTGTAGCCTTGTAGTATAGTTTGATATCAGGGAGTGTGATACCTTCCACTTTGTTTTCTCCCAAGATTTCTTTGACTATTCTGGGTCTTTTGTGGTTCCATGTAAATTTTTGAATTAGTTGTTCTAATTCTGAGAAAAATGCAGTTGGTATTTTAATAGGGATTGCATTGAATCTGTATCACCTGTAGATTTGCTTTAGGTAGTAAGGACATTTTACAATATTAATCCTTCCAATTCATGAGCAAGGTATATCCTTCTATTTATTTGTATCTTCTTCAATTCCTTTCTTCAATGTCTCAATAGTTTTCAGAGTACAGGTCTTTCATCTCCTTGCTTAAATTTATTCCTAGGTATTATACTTATTGATGCAGTTGTAAATGGGATTGTTTTCTTTTTCTGATCACTCGTTATTGATGTATAGAAACACAACAGATTTCTATCTATTGATTCTGTATCCTACAACTTTATACTGAATTTACTTATTTTAATAGTTTTTTTGGTGGAGTCTTTAGGGTT